TGCTGATGGAGCGAGTTTGCCCAGTCCCTCAGCGACCTGCTCTTTGAGAAGGTGACCCCCGGGTGTGGAGGGGTGCAGCATGCCTGGCCGTGGGTGGCCGGGACACCCTCAGGACCCTGTGCTCTCTCCCATTCAGCTCGGGGCGGGGCAGACGCCCGGAGAGCTGCTCAGCCCTCTGGTGCTGAACGCAGTGCTGAGCAAGGCGCTGCAGTACAGCCTGCACGGCGACTCCCCGCACGCCGCCAAAGAAGGTGACCCCCGGGTGTGGAGGGGTGCAGCATGCCTGGCCGTGGGTGGCCGGGACACCCTCAGGACCCTGTGCTCTCTCCCATTCAGCTCGGGGCGGGGCAGACGCCCGGAGAGCTGCTCAGCCCTCTGGTGCTGAACGCAGTGCTGAGCAAGGCGCTGCAGTACAGCCTGCACGGCGACTCCCCGCACGCCGCCAACCTCTCCTTCGCCCTCAAGTTCCTGCCCGAGGCCTTCGCCCCCAACGCCCCCGACGTGCTGAGCTGCTTGGAGCTCAGGTACAAGGTCAGCAGGGCCCCAGGTGTGAGTGGGACAGGGGCTGGGACAGGGGCTGCTCTCGGGCTGCCCTGAGCCAGGCCCATCCCCACAGGTCGACTGGCCTGTCAACATCGTCATCACCGAGAGCTGCCTGAGCAGGTACAGTGGTATCTTCTCCTTCTTGCTGCAACTGAAACTCATGATGTGGACACTCAAGGACGTCTGTTTCCACCTCAAACGCACAGGTAAGGCCGCCCTGGAGCCTGCCCTCGGCTTGTGGGGCAGTGGCCGCTCGCCCCTCACCGTTCAACCCTCGCCCCTGCCCTCCGTGCAGCCCTGGCGAGCCCCGCGGCTGGCTCCGTGCAGTTCCGTCAGCTGCAGCTGTTCAAGCACGAGATGCAACACTTCGTGAAGGTCATCCAGGGCTATGTCGCCAGCCAGATCCTGCACGTCACCTGGTGTGAGTTCCGAGCCAGGCTGGCCGTGGTGGGCGACCTGGAGGACATCCAGCGCGCCCACGCTGAGTACCTGCACAAGGCGGTCTTCAGGTGAGGCATGGGCGCTGGGGGCCGCGGCCCGGGTCTAGGCGCACCCACCCACAGCTCGGCTCTTGCTCTCCAGGGGTCTACTGACGGAGAGGGCGGCGCCCGTCATGAACATCATCCACAGCGTCTTCAGCCTGGTTCTCAAGTTCCGCAGCCAGCTCATCTCCCGGCCCTGGGGCCCGGCCGAGCACCCCAACTTCGCTCTCATGCAGCAGTCCTACAGCACCTTCAAGTACTACTCCCACTTCCTCTTTAAAGGTGAGCCGTTCCCACGGGCAGGGCCACGGTGGGGACAGGCGGACAGGGCCGCAGGGGGCTCCCCAAGCTGCTCACGGTACCCGCCTGCCTGCAGTGGTGACCAAGCTGGTGAACCGCGGCTACCAGCCACACCTGGAGGACTTCCTGCTGCGCATCAACTTCAACAACTACTACCAGGATGCCTGAGCGCCACACAGAGGTGTCCCCAGAGGGGCCGAGTGACCACGCTAGGGGTGAGGAAGCAGCTGCTTTATTTACAGGTCCCCAGCCAGCAGAAGGCGTGCAGTGCCGGCTCCTCCTAGGCTGGCCGGGGCAGGGGACTACCGCGCGGTTCCCTCTGCTGAGTTGGCCTTGTGCGTCTAGTGTGGGGCTGGGCTGCTGAGTCCGCGTCGGACAGAGACGGGTCAGGTCCTGACTGGACGTCTCTGCTGTCATGGAGAGGCGGTGTGGGTGTGCTCTGCTGGCTGCTCAGCAGGTGCCGCCTCATGGACTCAGTTGGCCTCAGGGCCTTGGGGCCTCCTGGTGTGGAGGCCCCAAGGCGGTTACGAGGATCAGGTGACGCAGAGCTCTGCAGCCCAGAGCGGGGGCTTGCTGCTGTAGGAGCCTCGCCTGCCAGCCTCCCCGCCCGCCCCACCCGCCCCCTCAGGCTCGGCGGCATCCAGGACCTCGGGGGCCTCCGTGTCCCTGTGATATGGAGTCTCCAGCAGCTTCAGCACCTTTCGCACCTGGGGGAACAAGGCAGGGTTGTGGGGGCGCCCCTCCCTCCCCAGCCCACCCCCTACTGTGGGACCCAGGGACACAGCAGGGCCAGGCACGCCCTTGCCTCTGAGAAGTCTCCGTTCTCGGCAGCCTCGATGGCCCTGTGCGCGATGTAGTTCCGTAGCACGTGCTTGGGGTTGCTGGCGTGCATGGTACGCACACGCTCAGCCTGCCAGGTGGCGGCGTCCCCGGCACCCTCCCTGTCCTTCTCCAGCCGGGCTCTGGAATCATATGCAAGCCCCCAGTCGTCCTCCATGCGGATCCTTGGGTAGGGGGTGTCTGTAGCTACCCCCAGGGGAGGTGATACTACAGGCAGTCAGCACCCAGAGCCTCGCAACTGGGTGGCGGGTGGGGCCGGCCTCACCTGTACTCCTGCAGCCAAGTGGCCCAGTGGTCCTTGTTCATGCTCAGCAGCTCCGCTGGGCTCAGCTGCTCGAGCCGCGACTGCTGCTCTACACGCTCCAGCTCCTTCGTGATGTTTGTCTGCGAGCCGAGGAGCGCGAAGAGCTGCGGGTTGGACTGCGCCAGCATCAGCATCATGGAGAGCTGCCTGCGTGGAGTGGCCGCGTGAGTGCGCTTGGCAGGCATCAGTGCCCCCACCACTGGCTGGGGCCGTGGCCTGGGACCGCTGGACACCTTGGTGATGACTATCCTGGCACAGAGGTGGTGGCAACAGTCTCAGCTGCCGTGCTACACTGCCTGTGGCCCACAGATGCCAGTCACCCGTCTGAGGAACTGCGACCGCCGCTGACTTGGGCAGACCCTGGGGTGTGTGTGGGGGGGGCACCCATCCCAAAGAGGAGTCACTGCTACACTGCCTGTGGCCCACAGATGACGCTGACGTGGGGGCACCTGCCAGTCACCCGCCTGAGGAACTGCGACTGCCGTTGACTTGGGCAGACCCTGGGGTGTGTGGGGGGGGCACCCATCCCAAAGAGGAGTCAGGCGCCATCTTTTTGCTTGGCACCCCCCTTATCTTTGTCCCAACCCAGCAATGATTTCCTCTGGGAGAAGGTAACTGCTGTCAGTTCTTCCCATAATGACCATAAGCTGGATCTCTTCCCCACTCCCAAAGGCGTCTGGGGGTCAGGGACAGCCTGACACCCCTCGCCCAGTCTCACTGGCTTCCTTCCGGAGGTCCTGCACCCTGAGCTTCAGTTCACTCCCCAGTGCTGCACTAAATTCTTCTCAGACCACAATCTGTTGGCTTGTTTATCAAGTCCTACAGCCATACTTCCAGGTATTCCCCAGGTGTGGGCGACACCCAGTGGGGGACAGTGCAGAGCGTGCTCTGACAGAGACCTGAGGGCTGGCCCGGGGAGCTGCCGGGGCGCAGAGCCCAGCCTCCCAGCTTGTCCCATGTGACTCGCCTGTGCCAGCATCAGCACCGCTGGCCTGCCCTGTGACCAGCGAATGGGCCTTGGTGTTACAGGGATGTAACTATCCCCGAGTCCTGGGAGTGGGACAGCCCCCTGAACCCCTAGGTACCCAGAAAACTATCCCATGTTTCCTGATGTGCACATGCCCCCATGCTATCCTGACCATCCTGCGTTTCCACAAACATTCCAAAGAAGCAAGACCCGCATACCCACCGGGGGTCCATCTGGGGGCGGAAGGCGAGCCTCAGCTCCTCCAGGGAGGCACACTGTGTGGTCAGCGCAGTCAAGATGTCGTCTAGGCCTGGTGCCTCTGGCCCCACCAGGAAGGAGCTCAGCAGACAGAAGGTGTTGGTGAAGTCAGCGCCTGGAGCACAGAGCGCTTGGTGTTGGGGGCTGGGCCCTGCATGTCCCTCCTGTGGCACCAGCCCCTCGCTGGCCCACATCCATCCCCCCAACACAGGTGCAGGAGCCCTAGTCAGCATCAGGTCCAGGGCTCTGGACCCTCTTCCAGCCTGTTCCTCAGCCCCCACCCAGCTCGGCCACCAGCCCCAGTTTCTTCATCTGTAAAATGGGTACAATAGTGTGGGCACTGAGGTTGGCCCCTGGCCCTGAGCAATGTCACTGCAGCCATTTCCCACTTCAGGGGCCGCCACTGAAACACGCCTAGCACAGGATTCGATGTGGCAGAGAGCATGCAGTCCTCTGACTTGTTAGAACACATTGTCACCATAACCCCTAAGAAAACATCTAAAAAATACACACAAAAGGAAACGAGAAGGCAACCAGTACAGTACGCCACCAAAACCACTACACGCGAAAGCGACGGTGGAGGGAAGGAGGGAGACACACGAAATGGCAGAAGCCTTTTGTGATCAGTAACTGCTTGATGAGTAGATGGATTAATCTCCAAATCAAAATCAGAATGGATTAAAAAACGGCAGACACTACGACACCCTGCCCAAGACACTCGCTTTAGACTCACATGTTGGAAGCGAAAGGCGGGAAAGACTGTCCTGAGCAAACTGTAACTTAGAGCTGGGTGGCTCCACTGATGTCAGACCAGTGTACTTTAAATAAAGAATCAAAAAAACACCTATTGGTAAAGAGCCAATTCACCAAGATGTAAGAATTATGAACATACATGGACCAAACAAGAACTCCCAGACATATAAAATGAACATCCATACACTCGAAAGGAGAAACAGAATTGTCCTATGAGCCTGAGACTCAACACGGCACTTTAAACAGTGGCCAGGATGTGGGCACAGGTCAGCGAGAAGTGGGGCAACACTAACCTGACCAGAACAGACAACTGTCCAGCCGAGGCAGCACGCGCCGTGACGGCACGTTAGGCCACGGGACGAGTTCTAATACACTGAAAAAAACCTGTATGTTTTCTAACCACAGTGAAGCTGAAAGTCACAGGAGAAACACTGAAAATTCATAAGTAACGTGAAAGTTAAATGTAACCACATTTAACAAAAGAAACCACAAGAGAAATTAGGGAACACTCGAGTAACACACCGAAGCGTGGCCGCAGCTACGAATGCGGATGTTAGACACCTGCAGGTCTCGCTTATCACAGTCTGCAGCTGTGTGGCGACCGGTCTGCAGTAGGTTCTCATATCGAGCCTTCATTGTGCACCCGAAGTGAGCATTTACGCGTCAGTTATAGCAACTGAAAAAAGATCTCGATAACCTAGTCTTACACCTAATGAACTAGAAAAAGAACAAAATGAGACCAAAGCAGAATGGAAGAAAATAAAAATTAAATTAAAAAAAATAAAAATCATTGAAAGTTCGCTCTTTGAAAAGATCAACAAAACTGACAAACCTAGCTACACTGACAAAAAGAGAAGAGACACGGGTATCTAAAATCAGAAATCGAAGTGGGGAACGTCACGCGATCACACAGAAACCAGGCTGTAAGGACAACGAACAGTCGTCTGGAGAGTCCTATAAGCAGTAAGACCGGCCAGTGACCCAAATCCTAACGAGAGCGCCCCGGACCCGATGGCCGCATGGGTGCATTCTCCCGGGCGGTTCGAGAACGCCACTAGGCTGTCTCGAATTCTTCCAAGCAGGAGGGGACACTTTCTAAGTATTCTGAGAGACTGGCACCGCCTTCATAGCAGAGCCAAAGACAGAGGACACGACAGCGGCAGATCAGCACCCCTGAGCAACAGGCGCAAAAGTCTCTGACAGCCCTGGCAAACCAGTCGTTCAGTGGCACAGAGACAGTTGCCACAACCGAGCAGCGGTCCTCCCAGGACTGCAGGGGACGTTCCGTGACCTGAATGTTTGTGCCCCCAGCATTCATTCCTGGAGCTCCCATCCCCGGTGACTCTGGGTGGCAGTCAGGCCCCAGGTGGGCCCGGTGACAGGACTCGTGTCCTTGGCGGAAGGACACTGCAGGAAGATGGCACCACACAGTCCGCTGGCGCCTCGACCTCCGACTCACAGCCTCCAGGATTGTACGTGAGAAATGAATGTCTACGGTTTGAGGCCCCGCCTGTGGCCTCAAATTCACCACAGCAATTTAAAGTGACCCGGACAAGTTGGGGACGAAGGAGTAAACCCATGTGATTGTCTCACTGACACAAAATGGCCCAGGCACTCAGACTGGAAGAGGAGGAAACTGCCTCGACCTGACGAAGGGTGTGTATGGAAAGGCCACAGGTGGCCGGCTCGGCACTTCCCGAGATCAGGACCGGCGACGCTGCCACCAGCAAGTCATGCAGCACAGTGCCCCAGGAGCCCTCTCCTGGTGCAGAGCCGAGAACGGGCTCAGACACTCGCACGTGTGCGTTCACAGCAGCTAACAGTGAAAACCACCCCAGTGCCCATCGACGGCTGGTGGACGAGCAAAGCGCGGTCCATCTGTAGATGGTTCGAGCTTAACGGGGGTGGGCCACGAGCGCGAGCCGGGAGCCCAGCACGGCACAGAGGACAAGCACTGTGTGGCTCCACTTCTGTGAGGCCCTAGAGGGGTGAGATTCAGAGACAGGAAGTAGGAAAGTGGGTGCCAGGTGGGGGGTCGTGGGGAGTGAGTGTTTAATGGGGACGGAGCTTCATCTGGGAAGATGGAATGTTCTGGAGGTGCTGGTGGTGACAGCTGCACAGCAGTGAGTGCATCTAATGCCACTGGTTGGCGAGCACAGGGAAACAGGTTAAGGGTCAAGGTCATGTCCTGTTCATTTTATGGCGGTGAAAACTCTGAGCCCGTGTGGCTGCCCGCACTCACCGGTCAGCTGCATGGTCTCCAGGAGCCTGGCCACCAGCGCGGCGTCCTCCTCCTGCTCGGTCCGCACGAGGCCCAGCTTCCTGCGCATCTTGTGCAGGTAGTGCCTGCGGAACTCGGCGTCGTACTCCTCGGCCAGGATGGCCTCGGCCAGCGCCAGGGGCAGCTCGGGCTCCAGGGCCTCGGCCAGCTTCCGCAGGTTCCACCTGCACACCTCAGGCTGCTTGCTGTACGTGTAGCGCCCGGCGTTGTCGGAGGCATTGCACACGTGGTCAGGGTCGTACCTGCAACTCGGAATGAGAACCATGGTGCTGCCGAGGGCACAGTGCAGGCTCCCTGGGAGCACCCAAAGCGCCCACGTGGCCACCGCTCTCCTGCCTGTCCCCCAAGGACCCCGATGGCTCCACCCTAGGAGCAGGGAGGCCGCACAGCCCCGGGCCAGGCGCTACCCTCTTCCTGCTCCCGTCCCTGCCCCTTCGGTCCCTTGCGCCTGGCAGTGGAGACATCCTTTACAGTGCTCCTCAGCTTGAAACCTTCCAGGGGACTTTGCTGCTGGGAACACCAACCAGGCGGTGAGGAAACCGGCCGCAGGCACCTGCAGGTCCCTCCCCTGCCTAGCGACCGGTATGTGGGTGTGGGTGTGGGTGTGGCCCTCCCAGGCCATCTCACCTGTCCAGGAAGCCGAAGGGCCCGTAGTCGATGGTGAGCCCCATGATGCTCATGTTGTCCGTGTTGAGGACGCCGTGGCAGAAGCCGACACACTGCCACTCGGCCACCAACCGGGCTGTGCGACGTGTCACCTGCAGCACAACAGGCCTGTCCACTCCCTCCAGCCTCCCCCTCCCCTCTTCGCTCAGTCCCTGGAGCGAGCTGTTCCCTGGGGATTCCGCCCCAGCACGCCGCCCTCTCGTCCAGCACGCAGCCGTGCAGGGCCCTGGGAGGCTGGCAGAGACGAGTTTGGAGGAGTCACGCGCAGGATCCAGTCCCCACGCACTGGCTCCCAGGTGCTCACAGTGGCTCTTACCCACAAGAAAAACGAGGAAACCTTGACTTCCCGTGACTTGGACCCAGCGGACGACCAAACAAGGTACCTAGACTACAGGCAAACCTGCCGAGGTCCAGGCTGTGCCCCGTGGCCAGGGGAGGGACTCAGATGGCCCACCCGCCCAGGCCAGGGCCCAGCTGCCAGCCTCACCTACGCCGTGCCTCTTGAGCAGCTGAGGGCGCCTGGGCACTGGCAGGGTCCCCTCTCTGCTCTGCTGATGGACATGTGGAGGCCCACAAGGCAGAGCGACCCGCCTCCCTGCCTGCCACGGGGATGAACTGGGCGCTGGCCACATCCCCTGGCCCAGGTGCAGCCTAGGTGGGCGGGGGCAGCTGCGTGGCGCCCACGGCTGGTGGATCAGGCCCGCAGACCCAGCATGGCCAGGGAGGGGCTGGCCCGCCCACCTCGCGGAAGAAGGCGGCGTTCCTCTGCACGCTGTCGCTGGCGTGGGCGGCCTGGATCTCGGGGTAGAACGTGCCGACCACATAGTCCAGCATCTGAACGCGGATGTCGTTCCTCCCCACACTGGGGCCCGCGCGCCCCGTGCGCTCGTCCGCCGGCTTGAAGATCTCGAAGGATCCGAACCTGGAGGGGTGGGGTTTCCGTGGTCAGCGCAGCCTCCTGCCTACGCGGGGGGCGGGCGCCTGCCCCGGGGAGGCCTTGGTCCCCGCGAACGAGCTCGGCCAGTCTTTCCGTGGCTCTGTCCACTTTCAGTCAAAGTCTGCGCAGCCCCGGTCGTCTCTCCCGGACTCCACAGGACGAGAAGGGCCCTGTGCTCGTCCTGCCACAGCTAGGGACACTCCGGTCAAGTGCTAACTGAAGTGCGGTGACAGCATCAGCTGCTTGTCTGCTATGCACACTGCCTAGTGGTGCCACCGTGGAGAAGCCCTGGGTCTCCAAGGACAAGGCAGACCTCTCCCCTGGCTCCCCCATCCCTCAGAGCAGGGGTCCCCCACCCCTGGGCTGCAGACCAGTGCCAGTCCACCGCCCTCTGGGAACCAGGCCGCACAGCAGGAGGTGAGTGGTGGGCAAGCGAAGCTCCATCCGTGTTTGCAGCTGCTCCCCAGTGCTGGCATCAGACCATTGGGCACCAGATTCTCATAGGAGCACTGGTCCCTGGTGCCAACAAGGTTGGGGACCACTGCCCCAGAAGACAAGAAGAAAGGTTGGGACTGGCCTGAGATAGCTGAGCTGTCTTGGCTGCTCTGATATGTACAGGGTCAGCTTGGCCCCACAGGACGGCTGAGCCACAAGATCACCACATCCACCTCCTGATAACTCTGTGTTTGATGCCACGCAGCACGGTGACATCAGACATTAATGAATGGGTGAGGAAGACAAGTCAGTTGTCATCATGACGCAGAGCGAGAGCGTTTGCTGGGTGAGCTTCATGTTGTTTCCTGTCACAAAGTCTAAGTGAACAGCTCTGTATGTACCCCACCTCGGGGCCCGTGTTGGGACAGCCCCTCTGGCAGCCCTGGGCCCTTCAGGCCTCTCCTGGGCCAGCTGAGCTCTGGCCACGACTGAACCACCACCCCAGCTCTCCCGGTGACACAGGGCCAGGACGCAGTGCGGAAGGGCACAGCCCGGCTGTCCCCACACAGGACAGGGCTCCCGACCCAGAAAGTGCCCAGTGCCTTTGGCCCGTCAGTCCCTCCCCCTGAATGCAAACGTCTCCCCCACAGCACCCTGCTTCTGTGCCAGGGCTGGCCAGGGCCGGGTTCTGGACGTGTCACCGAGGTGCCTGTGGCTGCGAGAGCCCCGCATTACCTGAGGAAGGTGGGGGCTACACGCAGCACGACCGCGCACGGCTCCTGCTTGGGGTTACCGTCATAGAACACGTCACGCACCACCGTGGACTGCGACGTGACACAGGCCCCTGCCCGCGTGGTGGGGACCCCCAGGTGGAACATGGCCTCGCTGCACAGGAACTCCCGGATGCTGGAGCGCAGGACCTTGCGGCCATCGGCCTGTCTGGAATCAAGCACAGAGGTCACTGTGCCGCTCAGGCGGGCGTCCATTTGACCCTGCAGTTTGGGCAGCGAGAGGGACAGACTGAATGGACACGCCGAAGCTGTTTCAAACACAACTCACAAGCAGCATCAATGTCACCGTCAGAGTTTACTTTAGATGACAACACGGTGACAAGCCCGGCCTGCAGCCGGGGCTGGACTGATGCTAGGGACAGTGAAGGGCAGGTCCACCCGCTCACCGTGTCACACACACGCTCGTGGACCTGCAGCTGCTTTAGGACTGGTTTTACACACCGTGTACAGGGACACACACGGCAGCAGCGTTTGTCGCACTGGGCCTCTGTTATTAGCATGTTTTGGCAGACAGCTTTTCAGAGCAGTTTTAGGTTCACAGCAAGGCTGAGGGGACGGTGCTCTTCCTGTATATCCCGTCCCCTCCCTCCCACAGCCTCTGCAACTGTCAGCGTCCCCCTCAGGACCGGGACGTCCGCGATAACCGATGACCCGACACGGACATGTCATTATCGTGCAGAGTCCACAGTTCACAGTAGGGTCACTCCTGGTATTGAATGTCCTATGGGTTCTGACAAACGTATGACACGTACCCACCATGAGCATCATGCAGAGAAGTCTCACTGCCCTAAAAGTCCTCTGTCCTCCACCTGTCCACTCCTCCCCTCTAACCCTGTAACCCCGACCCTTTCCGTCTCCAGAATGTCACCGAGCTGGAGTGACACGGCGTGCCACCTGCTCGCTGGGCTTTCACTCACAGACGTGCACCAAAGGCTCCGGCAGGCTCCCTGCGGCTCGAGAGCTCATCCCTTCTGTGCTGAGGATCTCCTGTCAGGGTGGACGGCAGTTCGGTTATCCATCACGGGCTGAAGGGCACTTCGGTTTCTTCCAAGTGTTGGCAATTGTGAATAAAGTTGCTATAATTGTGTGCAGGCTTTTCTGTTAGCATTGTCTTTATTTCAAATTCCAGTTGCTCACTGCTGGTATAAAGTTACTGTGTGGTGACTTCGTGTCCGGCGACCTTGCTGTAACTGCTCATTAGCTCATTTCGTTTCTTCCATCTCGATCTGTATGCCTTTGATTGCTTTTGTCTTGTTTTAGCCAGGTCTTCCAATACAATGTTGAAATGCACTGGTGACGGGGACTTCCTTGCCTCGTTCCTGATCTCAGTGGGAAAGCTTTGAAGTTCTCAGCATGTGGTGGATGTCAGCTGGAAGCTTCTGCGGGTGTTCCTCACCTCGGTGAGGACGTGCCCCTCTCGCCCCAGCTTACTGAGTTCTCACCATGAGGCGGTGCTGGATTTGGTCAGATGCCCTTTCTGCATCTGTTGACTGGTCACGTGGTTTCTTCTGCAGCCTGTTGATCTGATGGATTACACCAATTAATCTCATGTTGAACCAGCCTTACACACCTGGAATAATTCCCACTTTGTTGTGGTGTGTGATTCTCACACGTTGCTGGATGCGACACGCTAACGTCTCGCTGAGGGTTTCTGCATCTGTGTTCATGAGACATCGCTCTGTGGTTTCTCTGTGATGTCTTCGTCTGGTTTTGGAATCAGGGTAACGCTGGCCTCGCAGGATGAGTTAGAAGTATTCCCTTCGCTTCCATCCTCCGAAAGACTAGAGAATTAGTAAAATTTATTCCTTAAACGTTTGGTAGGATCCAGCAGGGAACCATCTGGGCCCAGTGCTTGATTATTGATTAAATTTCTTTAATAGAAACAGATCTACTCAGATTGTCTACTTCTGCTTGTGTTTTGGCAAATTGCATCTTTCAAGGAATTGGATCATTTCATCTAGGTTATCAAAGTTGTGAGCATAGAGTTATTCATAATATTCCTTTATCATTTTAATGTCAATAAGATTTATAGTGCTGTCCCCTCGTTTACTTCTCATATTAGTAATCTGTGTCTTCTCTTAGCTAGCCTGGCTACAGGATCATTGATTTTACTGACCTTTTCAAAGAATCAGCTTTTGGTTTGATTTTCTCTATTTCCTATTTCAATTTTATTGACTTCTGCTCAATTTTTCTTTTCTTCTGCTTACTTTGGGTTTGATTTGCTCTTTTTTTCTAGTTTCCTAAGGTGGAAGCTTAGCTGATTGGTTTTAGATCTTATTTACTGACATCTGCGTTTGCTGCTGTAAATTCCCCTCTAAGCTCTGCTTCATTGTACCCCACACACTGTGATGAGTCGTTTTCATTTTCATTCAGATCAGAGTATTTTAAAGTTTCTCTTGAGATTTCATCTCTGACTCACGTGTTATGTAGACGTGTGTGTTTTAATCTCCAAGTGCGTTGGGATTTTCCGGCCGTCTATCTGGTGGATTTCTGGTTTAGTTCCGCTGGGGTCCGAGAGCGGACACTGCATGGGTCTGTTCGTTCAAACTCGTTAGGGGAGTGGACGGCCCAGAACGTGGTCTGTCGGGGTGCACGCTCCACACGAGCCTGAGAAGTGCGTTCGCTGTGGGTGGGCGAAGCTGTCTACAGGTGTCCATCATATCCAGCGGATTTGATGTGCTACTGGCTACACAAAGTCCGTACCGATTCTCTGCTCGTGGGATCTGACCATTTCTGACGAGGGTGTGGATTCATCTGCGTCTCCGCGCAGGTCGGTTTCTGCCTCACGTGTCCTAACACTGAGGCGCACACACGGTTATTTCCTCTTGGAGCATCGATCTCTCTGTCTTTATGCGGTGGTCTCTTCATCCCTGACTGTCCTCTGAAGTCTCTTCCACCGGACACTGAGATGGCTCGTCCTGCTTCCTTTTGATTGGTGTCAGCGTGGCACGTTTGCCTCCATCCCTTCACTTTTAATCCAGACGTGTCTCCAGTTCAAGTGGGCGTCTTAGTAGAAAACACACAGTTGGTTGTGGCTTTGGATCCATTCTGACTATCTCTAGTTTTAATTAGCACATTCGGACCACTGACATTCACAGTCATGTTCATACGGCTGCATTAAATTCTACCACATTCTGACTTTTTCTATTTGTTCCTTTGAGTTCTATTTCTGTCTCTTGTGGTCTCACTTGAGCCTTTTTGATTCTATTTTCTCTCCTTTTATTGGATCTCTCCTAGCATATCATTTATATATATTTTTAAACTTGTTTTAAGTGGTTGCCCTAGATTTTGTAATACACATTTACAAATAATCCAAGTCCACCTTCAGATAACACTATCCCACTCATAGGTAGTGTGAGCACCTTGTAATAACAAAATAATCCTAATTTCTCCCTCCTATCTCTTGTATTATTAGCGTCACTAACTTCACTTATATAAGCATCTGTAAGTGTGTGAATATAAGCACACATAGTCGAATACAGTGCTGTTGTATTTGGAACAAACTGTCACTTTTTAGATGAAGAATAAAAACACACAAGTTTCTATGTTTCCTTCTCTTCCTCCAATGTCCCTTCTTCCTTTTTGTGGATCCGGGCTTCCAATCTTTGTTATTTCCCTTCTCTCTAAAGAACTTCATCATTTCTTGCAAGGCAAGTCTCCTGGCAACGAACGTTTTCGCCTGTCTGAGCAAGTCCAGTCCCTTGCTTCTTTCTTTGAAGGGTCGTTTCCCAGGGGCCCCCGCTCCTCTCCCCTTGTGCTCGCGTGCCTTCCCGTGACTGAGCTGCGATTCCTGGCTCTGCTCCGCTGCGGGTCAGGTGTTTTCTGCCTCTGGCTTCTTTCACGTCTTTTTTAATTCTTTGTCTTTGCTTTTCTGTGGTTTGAAATGATGTGTGGAGCGTAGTTTTGGGGGCATTTATCCTGCGTGGTGTCCTCTGAGCTGCCTGGATCTGTCTGGCGTTACGTTAACTTGGGAATACTCTGTCATTACCATTTCAAGTATTCCTTCTGCTCCTTTCTCTCCTGGCGCTCCCGTGACACACGTTACAGCATCTCAGCTCTGTCCACTAGCTCTTGGACAGTCTGTTCTTTTAGTTTGTTCCTCTTTGCTTCTCACCTTCGGAGGCGTCTACTGAGACGCATCCTCAAGCTCAGAGAGCCTACAGCATACCCATCGTCTCCGTTAGCGTCTTTGCCAGAAATCTCTACCATTTCCTCCTGGTTCTGAGTCTCCATCTCTCCGCACACACCGCCCGTCTGTTCCTGCGTGTAGTTTGCTTTGCCCTCGGAAGCCCTAGCATGTGAATCGTAGAATCACAGTTGCTGTAGATTCCTGGACTGATAACTCCGACATCTCTGCCGTAAGTCTCGTTCTGGTGCTGGCTCTGTGTCTTCCAGCTGTGTTTTTGCCTTTTGGTGTGCCTTGTGTTTTTTTGCTTTGTTTTGTTTGTAGCCAGGCCTAACATCCTGGGTAAGAAGGAGCTGCTGTAAATAGTACTTCGGTGACGTGGCGGGGTATGGCGGTGCAGTGTTCGCAGTCCTGTGAGTAGGTTGGGCTTTCAGTGGATGTGCGCCCCTGGACCGTGACTTCCGTGTGTGCGTCTCAGTCCCCTTGCCCTTCGGGTGGGACAGGAACACCGGAGCTGGCTGGAGTGGGGCGTTCCCTTCACCAGGGTGAGTCGGGCTCTGGCTGAAGTTTCCAAGAGCAGCCATCACTACCGCAGTGCTCGGCTGTGCTTCGAAGGTTCCTGTTCCTCTCCGCCCTCCTGGAAGCACCAAGACATTGTTCTCCACAATCTACTCTGAGTGCCTAATAGGACTCCAGGGGCTAAAATTCACAGACGTGTGGGGGCTCCTTACGACTGTGCCCCTGGAGTTCTCACCGAGTCGTCCATACTGAGCCTCCAGCAGTTTGTCACTTACAGAGCAAGGACTCCGTGGAGGTTCCCCTGGGAAGCTGTGGTTCTGTGTCCGCCCGTTGGTCTCTCCTGTTTGGGGCAGAGGTTTGCCGTGACCTCTTTTCTCTCTCGGAGCTAAGAAGAGTTATCGATTTTTCAGTCTGTTCATCTTTTTACTTGTTAGAATAGATCAGCTTCCAAACTCCTCACACGCCAGGCTGGGAATTCTAGTATTTTTTAAAATTAAAAAAGGAAAGTGGCAGCACATGAGAGCAGCTGGCCTGCGTGGGCTCCATCCGGAGCCCCTCCTCGCGAGACTAGGGGGTGGGCACTCTGACCTCCAAGAGCCCCCGTCTGGCAAATAAACACAGCGACAGTGAGTGTGGATTTCTGCCCCGGGGAGCCAGGCCTGGCCCGGGACGCAGCAGCAGCCCAACGCTCGCCTAGGCAGGAAGGCACCTGCAATGATTTACAAAGCTTTCTAAGAAAAGATCAAAAATATGGGGGAAGACGAGCACACTTTCTGTGTCGCTGGGCAGGGCACAAAGGCTGAGTGAAGGCACCTGGGACAGACACTGCCTGCGTCCTCTCCTGGGAAGAGGCCAGGGAGGCCAGGGCTAAGGGGAGACCATGCCCAGGCCGGCACTCGGGGCCCTGCAGGCCTCTGCCTTGCCCTCACCTGGGAGCCGGAGTGACACCTCTGGAAACCTGGCCCGGAGTGACCCCAGGCTCTTAGGGAGACCGCCTGCTCCGGCCAGCGTGCCCCTCAATCCACAGCTATGGCCATTCACTTCCTTCTGTTCCGTGCAAGTTACTATGCCAGGTTAATTCATCCTCAAATGTCACTGCAATCTCCCTGCAGTGATCTGGGAGTCACCTTTCAGCCCAGCTAGATCTCACACTGTACGCAGGAGCCACCATAGTCCACGCTCATCTTGAATCTGGTAAAAATGATCTGAAAACAAGCCTGTCTTTTTCCCCAAGGTGAGAATCCCAAAACAGAAGCCAGAACTGAACTATGACCACAGAGAAAGGGCAAAGAGCCTCAGAGGGCACCCTGCCCTGACAGCCGATGGGACATGTGACAAGTCCCTTCTCTTGTATGCCCATGTCTGTTTCAGCCAAGCTGCTGGGATGGACCCAGCTGAGGACCAGCTCTGCATCTGCCAAGAGTCACCTGTCCTGAAATCCCAACC